AGGCTTTGACAGTTGTCTGCTATACTCTGAGCCTCATTTGAGACTTGCTGCTTTCTCTTAAAGTAGCACATTGCTTGAAAGCAATTTTGGACTAAGATTTTGTTAAAAATAAGCCTGGTAACAGACCATCTTCATTCAATACATATAAACACCTCCTGAAAAATAACAACCATATCTCTTTAATAGAATACTATTGAATTATTTTCAGGAGGTGTTCCAATGCATTAGATTGGATTAGCAACCTACTTTTGCTACTTTCATAATGGGGCACAATTCTAACACTAGGAGTTTGTACAGTTTGTAAAAAGTCATAGTCATGGTTCTATGACTATTTTTATGGCAATCATAATGCAAATTACTGTGGTCATTAAGTGAATCAAGTGGTTGTTAAACAAATCCAGCTTCCCTGATGGACGATTGCCAGAAACCAGCAAAACAGGTTGCAAATCGTAATCACATGACCACAGTATGCTACAACCAATTGTAAATAAGAACCAGTTGCCAAGTGCCCAAATTGCTGGTGCCATCAGTAAAACCATCAGGTTTTACTGGATGACTGATTAGGAGGAATTGGAAAACTGTGTGAACCTTTTTCCCCTTTGGAGCATTTGTAGAGAACTTTTCTGTGCCTATGTAATGGTTGAGTATGTGGTTCTTTAGTAACTAAAAGATTATACTTGGCACACATATTTTATTTTGCTCTGTCCTTGGTAAGATACCCGTGTAAAATATGATGATCTTTCTTAATGTTATTTCAAAAACCTTGGTAAACAAAATGCAAGTAGTCCTTGGGTTATAATGATAATTGGGACCAGAATTTCTTTCACTAAGCAGTGCGGCTGTAAAGTATGATGCCACATAACTGCTAAGTTTAGCAACATCAATCCTGTAGTCCCAGTTGTCACTGTAATCCCAGGACCATACAGGTTGTTAAAGAGGCAGGCGTCCCAGGCAGGTAGGCCAGCAGATGCTGCAGGCAAGCACTAAAGAATGTGGGCAGGTAAAACTGTGGGAACAGGAATGATTTTCTACTTCCTGCCAGCTTCCCCATTGACTTT